CACTGCAGTGCTGTGTGAAATAAAGACGCCAGACACACGCGTGTGTAAGCAGGGGAAAACGACTGTATAGACGTGGAATTCCTAGCATCAGTTGCTATGAGAAGCTAAGGGCTGACTGAGGGACCACAATTGCTAGAGTAATAGAACAATGCTCGTGTCTAGTTGAGCTGCCTAACAAGGGTGTGCGCGTTTACCAAGACTCCCTGTACTGTGTGTACAGTTAAGATCTCTCTGTCAGTTTGGATGAAGATGTCGTTTATTTGGTAACGTGATTTCATCCCGAGCACAAGGCCCTGTGTTTGACCCCTATAACCACATGCACCAGGGCTGGTTGTACATCTCTAATCTCAGCGCTTTGACTGATGGAAGCAGGAGGATTAGAAGTTCAAGGAAAGCCATCCTCAGCAACGTAGCCAGTTCAGGGTCAGCCTGGGATAAGAAGGGGAGGGAGGGAAGAAAAGAAGAGAAAACTGTGTGTTTCACTGTGTGTAGATTTTATATTGAAAAGGAAAGATATAAATAATAAAAATACTTACAGTACAGGTTTTCTACTGATAATCCCCTATTTTGAGTACTTTCATAGCTAAGCTACAGTTCTTAATGCTTGACACCCCTCAAATAATAAGCCTTTTTTTTCCAAAAAGAGGCTGATTAATATCCTGGTCTTTAGATGGGCAACTTAGAAACCAAAGAAGATACACAAATAAATGGCCACTAATATGAAAGGGTACATTTTACAACTTAGTCTCATCCTAGAAGAATATACATTAAATCCACGATGAAACACTACCACATCTCCATTTTTATGACTTGAATATAATTGGCAGCACCAAACACACAATGGTGAATATATGTAACGAAAGAACCTATCTACTTTGCTCTAAATAAATAGAGTGGTAAAGATAGAACTCGAACGCAAGACTCCAATCCTAGCAGCAAAGTTCTCAGCCAGCGTCCCACTGGCTCAAAGCTTTATGTCCCCTTCAGACATGGTAACCATCCTGGGAAAAACAATTTGTAGTGTAATCCCTGAAGAGGACGAGGCCAGAGTACTGCTAGACAGTCATCGCAGCTAGAGAACCCCAGGACCCTGCAAAGACCACAGGTTAGGCGGATTGCTGAGCTTGCTTTTGCAGAGGGCTGCCAGTCAAGGAGAATGAACACTCAAGTCAGAGGCCGTGGCTCAGGCATGCAGACAGAACCCCAAGAGAGTGTTCTTTTACATTTGTGGATGTCCCTCAATTGGCTCACGTAAGTATGCCTCAAAAGAATGAAGATTAAAAATGACCTTCCTAAATCAGGGTGATAGAAGCAAACAAAAGGGTTAAACTCCTAAGAGGAGAAAAAAAAGCCAAAATGAAGCAGCAGGAAATGGCCCATCCAGGTGCCTACATTGTACAGAAAAGTGTTGGAAGTTATTATAAGCTAGACTAAATTGCAGCGACCCATGAAATGTTCCTTCTTCAAAAGGTAATATATGGAAAGTGCCCATTACCAAGCCAGCACCCAATAACTCATTGTTACTGCCATTATAACGGTATTTATGGCGTATAAAAGCTTGGAAACAGCCCTGTCTCTGTGGCTGTTCAGAGCTTTATTAGAAGCTTAATTTATTCTTTAAAACAAGTAGAGAACTTCGAAAGAATGAAGGGTATTAAAGACAAAGTGGCAGAAAGTTTTTTAAGGGATTTCCGGTGAGGCCAGGGCTACCAGTGGTCTCCAGGATGGTGAACAGAACAAACTCCTCCCCAAGCCATCACAGGACAGGACCCCATGACTTTGCCTCTCTCCAGAGAGAATGCATGCCCACCCGGGGAGGCTGTAGACCAACTCTACTGCTGACTTCTCTTTAAAACATCTTGCCAGGCATGGGCATTGCTGACTAGGGATGTGGGCCTGTGTGAGTCTACCTGGGTATGTAGCATGCTATCGAGCTCCACTAGAGAGCTTGTTCATAGGGTGGAAAGGGCCTGTTTGGAATTTCCATGCTCATAGAAAAATGACCTTTAAATTGTTAAGAGTGTAGAAAATGGCTGCTAAGCATATAAAGAAATACGCCACGTATACATGTACATTTAATAATGAGGTTACACAAACTGGTCAGCTAATCATAGAGAGATGAAAGTCTATTGGAGAATGTCCCCTCCTCAAAAGAGCAGGACATTTTCCCCCCTGAGAAACTTGAAACCATGGTGATATTTATTTTGGCTGCAGCAACCTGTGTGTAAAATGATGAATTGTGGCTGATCTTTCAGCTTATTAGGTGTCTGTCCCCAGAGACCTCCTTTCTGTATCTGTTGAAATGATTTGCCAATATCCTGTTAGCTGGAGAGCTGAGAAAGCCAGGAAAACACCGCTTGCTGGAAAGGACTGGCCAGATCCTGTTTCACCCACTCTCAGACACCAACAATGAAAAATGAGCAAAGGGCTCCTCAGCACCCCCAGACACCCTCAGACCACTCAGGGTATAGATGCCCAAGCTAGATGCAGGTCTATGAAGGAGCGTGGATCACTCAAAGTTTCACCACAAGCAGCCTGTATGCACCAAAGAGTAAGCAGGGACCCGGTACCCACTGGAGGAGAAAACATGCCAAAGTTGCCCATTTTGCCTAAGAGGGAGACCGGGAATTAGGTCGTCTTGGATCAGCTCTCATATGATGATACAAAAATGCTAGTTACAAATTGTGTCCTCCCAGAGCAAGACTAGAAACCTTGACTTCTGTGATCTTATACCTGGCTGGAGGCTTGGACACAAGAGTCAGTAGAGAGAAGCCGCTGACAAAATTAAGGAATCCATTCTCCTGTTTGATTCTCTGGGAACTCACACTTCTCTTCCTGGGTTCTATCAAACATACTTATTTTTAGAGGCTATCTAGGTTACTCAAGGTTTTTTGATTGTCTGTCTTCTGGACTTTGTGATGTAAGATCTATTCTCCTAGCCGGTTTTAAGTGTGTAGTTTAATAGTATGAGGTGCATTCTCGGGGGCTTGCTGCTGTGTTCATCATCTGACCCAGAGCTGAACTCCCATACTAGATAAACTGCAGCTTCCCATCTCACTGCTTTCAGCCCCATCTCACTGAAATCAGCCCCATCTCACTGAGCTCAGCCCCATCTCACTGCGCTCAGCCCATCTCACTGCGCTCAGCCCCAGGTCCATTCTACCTGTATGGGGTACTTTTAGAAAAGTAGAAAAATATAGTGGTTTTTGTTTGTTTGTTGTTATATAGCTGATATACTCAAGTTTAATTCATATTGCCACATGTGGTATAATCTCTTCCTTCTCAAGCCTAAATAATATTTCATCGTGTGTTGTAGACTGTTCCTGACTTGTGAAGCCTCAAATTGCAATTTTTATTTTTTCTACTCTTAGCGGGAGGGAGAAGACAATATCACATGCCATGGTGCGTATACAAAAGGACAGCTTCTGGTGCTCAGCCTCACCGACCACCTTGTTTGACACAGTCTCTCATTGCCTCTGTGTATGTGAGGCTGGTCAGTCTGTAGACTCTCATTCTTTAAAAGACCTCCAGGGCTTCTCTGTGTCTGCCCCCCCCCCCCATCTCACGCTCGGTGCGCCGCAGTTATAGATATGTGCTTCTCCATGCAGTTTTGCCTGAGTTCCAGGGATCAGAACTTAGCCTCTCACTCTTGCTTTATCCACTAGGCCATCTCCAGAGTCCTTACTCTGTGCAACACAACCAAGGCAAAACTGGCCTGTACACACCCAGATAGTACTCCCCAAAAGGTCCAAGAACATCTTCATAGGACCTCCGAAAGTTTTAGATAAAAGAACTGACACCTAGAAAAATCTTAGAGCCTAGCCATGCTTGTAAAGGAGCCGTGTGGGCTTTTTGTGATGGGAGGTTTCTAGTGACTCCTAAGGAGTCCACACACACAGCTGGTGATGGGCATATTACTACAATGGACAGTCCCCTACACTAGAAGAAGGTGTGGCACCTTTGCAATGAGCCCTTTCAGTCCACAGAGACTGTCTTGGCAAGCTTCATTTGCTCTGAGTCACGGTGACCTTAGCAGATGGTAACTTTTTTTTTTTTTTGGAGGAGACACTTGGCTGTAGAAGAGTATGTTTCTTGTTACCACTTTTATTGGCTGTTGTAGACAATAAATAATGCCTGACATTAATGGGTTGGTTGCGTTTTCTCCTGGCACAGCATTGTCTCTCCTACAGCTTCTTCACGCTCTTTTGTAGGCACCGGCCCCAGCGTTCAGGGCATAGCCCTTACACGGTGCCACAGTACTGAGATGAGAAAATTAATTGATGCCGAGAACACGGAGTGATTGGCACACATTCCCTCTCCATTTTGTGCACTTTCTCTCAGAAACACTTTGAGCTCCATTTGTTCTCCCTCTCCGACACAGTCTCAGATAGAAACCTCTGGAACACACAGCTCACTAAACTCACCCTTGCCTTTTTATTCATCACAGCTCCTCTCTGTACACCTGGTACGTGGGATATCCCCGTAGATAAACACCTATCTGGTGCCAGGCACTTGGCTAGACACATTGTTCTGTTTAATCCGCAGGACAATCCGATGCGGTATCTTATTATACTGTTACATCTCTTATTACACAAGAAGAAAACAGGATCTCCAGGCAGCGAGCTGGCTCCCTGAGGCTGCACAGTTGGCAGCAGCAGAGCCAGGAGTCTGGCTGCTTGCCTGGCTCCAGGGCCGCTGACAGGCACCGCTTTAGGTCTGTGGCTTGGCACGGGGGACCTCTGAGGTAGAAGAGCGGTTGTGAGGGAAGAAATCCCATTTCTAAACAAAGGGCTGATAGTTCCCTAAAAAGCTCTTACAGCCCGCCTCCCCCCACCTACCGACAAGAGAGTGGCCTCCAGGAGGGCCTGCAAGGATACAGGGAGAGCCAGGCTCCAGGCATCCGTGCCTGCAGTATCCCGCACGGTGGTAGAGGTAGCCAAGGAACAGTCTGGAATTCTCCTAGCAGAAAGTGATTTCCCAGCCTCAGCCCACCTGCTCACCTCAGAAGCCCTCTGCTTCTGGCAGAGGGTGTCTCAGTGAAGCTGTGCCCACGGCGTCTCACCAGAGAATGTAATTGTCTCAGCCTCTGCTGCTAAGGCGCTACCACAGGGAATGACCCCCTTCTGCCTTTATCTCTGACATGACGGAAGTACCCGCAGAACAAAACATGCAGGGTTAGGACAGATGGCCAAAATTACACACGCACGCCTACCCTTGCCTTTTTATTTAAATTTTTAAAAATTCTTGCTTTAATTTTTTAAAAATAAGGACTCTGGAATTTTAAGCATTCACACCATAAAAGGTGACGTGCTATATATATAGTGTGTATACTGTACACTATACTGTACACTGAACGTGCTGTTTAAAGTGGTTTGTTTGTGTAATAGGGACAGTGATGTGAAGTGCAGCATTGAGTCACCCTTTAGGTGAGGCAGCTCAGCATCTTCATAGCAACTCAGACTACACAACAGCCCTTCTGTTTCACAAGTGAAGAAATAGAGGCCCAGAGAGCCGTGCACACAGGTGCAATAGACAGGCACTTCTTGTTGGTGGTTTTGTTTTATTATCTGCCTGGGTGTTTGGCCTGCAATGTGTTTCTGTGCATGCAGTACCCAAGGAGGCCAGAAGAGGACATCAGATCTCCTGAACTGGAGTTAACGTGCAGTTGTGAGCCACAGTGTGTGTGCTGGGGATCACACCTCTGGAAGGGCAGCCAGTGTTCTTATCCACTGAGCCATCTGTAGCGCTCAGGCCAGGGTTTTAACTGTAGAAAGTACTTTGTCTGCAGACACTGGATTACATTTAAAATACAAACCTGAAGTGACCACGGGCATGTGCAATGGTTTAGATGTGGTTTGTGCCCAAGGGCTCATGGACTGGATGCTGGATCTCCGTGGTGGTGTGTAGAAGCATATGGAAGTGAGTGAAGGGGAATTTAACATAAGAGGTGGGACCTGATAGGGTCTTCAGTTCTTTGGGGTTGTGTTCACTTAGCAGGGAATGCTATTTTCTTGTGCATCGCAAACCCTGAGCCTGATGCCTAAATCTCTGGGTTTTAGTTATGGGATGTGATCTTACCTATCCAGTTACTGCTACTACTGCCATCCGCCTCAAGGTTCTCATCCAAACCAAGCTGATTCCAGAACCCTTTAGGACCTGTAGCCAAACAAGCCTCTTAGCTTTGAAAAGTTACCCAGCCTAGGGCATTTCATTGTAGTAACAGAAAGTGAACTAATATAGGAGGAAGCCCAGCCGTTGGGTAATTTCACTTGAAAGTTAGTTTGACACAAAAATTAAAAGATTGATTAGATCTATTAGACTAATTATATTTAAGGGATATGAGATAGGGGTATTGGTTTTGGTTTTTTTTTATGTGTTTGTTTGTTTTGAGTTCCCAAGAGTAAATAAAATAAAAGTAAGGAAAGAAAAATAACCAGTAATTAGGTAGAACGAACAACCATATGCCTTTGCTTCTTAGACCAATGTAATGAAAATTTCAGAAGCTATACTCTGAAAAATCAAATTTTTTTGAAATGAGTATATACATAAAATATTCATAGATTTGGAGAAAAAAATCACGCACAACACATGTTGACCACAGACATAATTGCTTTTCGTGAGCCATTTGTGAAAATGGAGACTTCAACCGATTTTGTGCGTTTTTACCTTCATTTTCAGTGTGATTGGGTCACATGATCCTCATACCCCAGCATTACTGACCACTGATCTAAGCACCACGCCAGTGTTGCTCCTAGGCTTTGGGGTGGAGGACCCTTCTCAGAACAGGCGTCCATGCGTGAGAGATTTCTAATCAAGCTAGGATTTGATTCCTGGCCCATGATTTTCAGGACACCATTGCGGATCATCTGTTCTGGCCACTAGACTTCAACATATTGCCAAGGCAATGAATATTGATATGTCTCTAAATAACCAAACAGAATTTAATAATGTTGTGTCATTCTGGATTTTTCTCAAATGTTCAATCATGTCTGTCAATTAATAATAAATGCAAGGTGTCTAATTTCTTATATTTCCCCTTTGTTTTAGATGTCTGAAACAAAGCAATATTTCATCTTTTCTTTCAAATATCTGCTAAGTGATCATTTTGTAACATTCTGAAGAGCATTTTAATACCGTTGTTCTGTTTTCTGATTTTCACTGTTGCTGATCATGCTTAGTACCTGTGGACAGAGAAAACAGATGCCTTGTCCTTAGAAATATTCCATGGATACTCAGTGTCAAACTTGCATGGGTTAGGAGCTGCACTGAGGTTCGCCGTAGCCTGGGGACACTGGTACACGTGCAGACCTGAGTGGCCCTGAGACCCCAACAACAAGCTGGACTTTGTTCATATCATGATGAGCTCTGCTCTGAGGAGCTGTCATTTTAGCGTGGTAGGGCTACAGTTAAGATAAAGGGATGCTGTGGATAGCGTCTGAGGCCAGGAGCACTCAGAGCAGGGATGCAAAGTTCTCCTCCTCCAGGAGCTATAAATGGATGCCTTTCTTTGTTTGCTTGTTTGTTTTTTAATTCCTCTCTTCAACCTCTACATAGAGATGCCAGATAAAATATACAACACCCAGTTAAATTGGAATTTCAGATAAACAAGGAATAATTTCAGTGTGTGTCCTGTGCAATATTTAGGGCATGCATATGCAAAAATATTACTTACTTGTTTTTTACATAAAATTCCAGTTTTAAGTGGGGAGTCCCTTGAGTTTCGTTCACTAATTCTAACACTCTGCAGACACCACATACTCTAGACCCAAATGTCTTAAAGTATTAATGAATAAAGAATAAAAGATAAGTGGAGACGGGAGGAGAGAGACAGAGGCAGTAGGAAAGAATGAATGCTGGATTCCTGCCAAGTAAAATAACTAAATTCTAAAAACTGAGGTCATAGGATGGAAAATGTCTGTTTCACGGACTTTTGAGCCTGAATATTTGCTCAGAGAGAGAGGGAGGAGAGGGAACTTGTTCTTCACCACTGAGCACCACTGCTCACCCAGGAAGGGAAGATTTGGAACCTGAAGACCCTTAACCTTGGGACTTGGTTGGAAGACTGCGACCCTTTATTAATTGCAGGTTTTGTTTTTCCCACAAGATGCTTTGGCAATGGGATAGCAAGGAAAGGTACCTAACTTCAGCTCTTGTTTCTAAGACGTCCTTGAAACTTCGCGGTAACCTTCTCTTTGTCTCGTGCTAAAAAAGCAGAAAATGATCCGATACCCGGTAGGGAGAGGAATTTGCCCTGTTTGAAAAAAAACCAGACTGGCTGTGAAGCATGAAGATTTTTTTTTCTTTCTTTCAAGCTAAAAATATTAACTCACAGCTCAAGACTCTTTATTTTTTCCTTTATCTCTAAGCAGATGAATACTCTAACCAAGAAAACTCTTGCCTTCATCCTGGACACGTCACGTTGTGACATTGTTCCTAGGAGGTGGATTTTAACTGTGCGTGGGGGGAACTAGTGGTTGGAATGTTGAGCGTGTTATTTCAGTCACGTGTGCTAGGCTTTGGCCAACTGAAGCACAGCTGGATCAAGCCTCAAACAGGGTAAGAGTCATTTCGTGTTACTGGTTTGTCTCCTGTATTGGGCTGTGGGGACTGTGGGGGAAGCAGAGGCTGCGGGTTTGTACTGGCTGTCGGGCATGCTAACATGAGTGTCCTACAAAGAGGAAGGTGGGTGGTCTCTGTGCCATGAGCTGCAGTCTAACGCATGGCAGTGTTGTGTTGGTGGCATCGGCCTTGGGTCACTTTTTCATTTGCTATGAAAGAATCTATACTGTTGGGATGTTTAACATCTCCCTAAAGCCAAACAGCTATATGGGAGCCTCTTGTTTCTAATAGGTGGTTATTTGCATCTTTGCTGATTTATTTTTTAAAAAAAAACATATGATGCAAGAGACTTCTTGACCAAATTCATTATAGATCTTCCAGATAACCTTTTCCAAATTTTTAAAATAAGAAACATCATCTCTTTTGCCTTTCAGCTTTTCAGTTAGATTTGTCCCGCACCTTACTAACTCTCGTAAGGTCATTGTGGGATTGGTTCAAAGAACAACAGCATTCTGCATGCTTTCCGTTTAACAGACTTCAAACAAGCTCCCAAAGCCAGTCTTTTTCCTAAGGGCCAGAGATAGTGGCATGCGGAAACCACAGGGAGAAGCCACAGGGAGCCACATGGCCAACCTGTGACGATTAACTTATAAACCAGTGCCATTTTGATGGGAGAGATGACCAAAGAAAATTTCCAGGTAATCTAGTGGCCAGTTGCAGGGGTGCATGGGTGTGTCCCAACCAAAGTTTTTCCTCCAGTCCAGCCTCCTAGCTGGACATCATAGACAGGATGTAGGTCAGACCGCTGGAGAAGCCTTTTAAAATATTAGGGGATAGGAAAATGGCTCAGTGGATAAAGTACTTGCCATGCAAGCTTGAAGGTCTGAGATCAAATTCTCAACACCCACATAAAAGCCGAGTGTGATGGTCTATGCCTGTAACCCTGGTGGTGAAGCATTAGAGAGAGGAGAATCACTGGAGCTCGCTGGCTACCCAGGCTAGTCAAAACAGAGAGCCCCAAGTTCAGCAAGAGTGATCCTGTCCCCTAAATAAGATGGAATGTGGAAGCTATCCACCATTAGCCTCTCACCGGCTTGCTCCCACACATACAGGTGCATATAGCCACCCACATACAACACATACACACACAAGCTGGCTGAAAGAATAGATGAATAAATAAAAGGAACCTGAACCCACTGTGCAGCCCTGGATGGCTGTAAACGTGGCAATCCTCCTGCCTCAGTACCCTGAGTAGTTGGGACAGCATTCCTGGAGTCATTTATGATTTTGATAATGACTGCAAATCACAACTATAGGAGCAAGAAATGATGTGTTTGAGATGGGATCTTGCTATGCCCAGGCTGTCTAATTCCTGCACTCAAGTAATCCTCCTGCCTCAGTCTCCTAAATAGTTTGGGCCAAAAGCATTCGCCAGCACTATCAGCTTCTTTAATTTTGATTTATTAATAATTCAATGACACTCTGTCTCAAGTGAACAAGAAAAATCAGAAAATGAAAATACCTTATAAATACATCAGCTGATGAATGGATAATTAAAATGT